GAGAGTTCATCAATATTGGTTTATTTCTGATAATTTGTGGTTTTTGTGGTTAGTCAGGAATTAAAGATAATCTGTCTCAGTAATGTCATAATTTGAGGTGATTAGTGAACTCTGACCCTTAGAGTTATTGGGAAATAATCGAACTAGAAAAATATAATTTGGTTCTAGAACTAACCAAATAATATCTTTCTGGGCTACCACCCCCAGTCTCCCCACCCCACCCTCTAAAAGCAAAAACAAACACAAAAGCAGGCAAAAGCAATCCACAACAACAACAACTATTGCAAGGCGACCATGAAGGCGGCGAGTTGAACGAACTGAGCAGAAAAGCAGCGCAGCAGCAGAGCCAACGACTGCAGAAGTGACGTCAATGAGCGCGAGGCCAAATGCTGAGAATGTGTGTGTGTAGAGTGTGTGTGTTGTGGGGGAGGATTGCAAGTGGGTGGGGTGGGGAGCGACTCCCTTTTGGCTACGTGCGGCTGACCTCGTCGTGTTGCTTTTACTACCAGAAAGAGAGGGTTAGAGAGAGAGAGGGAGGCAGAGGCAGTGGCAAGCGTATTATCCTTGGTGGCTGGGAACGTTGACCCCTGACCTGAATGGGTGGCCAGGCGCAGGTCGCACAGTTGTAATTCAAACATTATTTATTTACACACCATTTCACAAATTTTTCGGGCATCTAACTTGGTTTCTAAATGAAAAGTTAGATAAGAATAATTATAATTATAAGATACTCTCTAAAGTATCTGAAAGATACATACATACATACCTCCTCTGAATTATGGCCAATTGTCGTATTAACTTCAAGACAAGCTTGACGAATGAGCGTTGAATGAACTGTAAAGCGCCATAAAGTTCCGGATCGGATTTTGAAGTCTCCAAGTCTTCAAGCCCCCAAGTCCCCAGTCTTGGAGCCCAGGCACGTGCTAATTGCTGACGCACCGAATGGAGCTCCAAATTGGGGAAAAGAGGGAGTTCTGAAAGCCCAACAAACGATCGTCGTTATGACAGGAGATTAGGTATTGTTGGATTTTTTTTTTAAGAATATGTGGGGGCGGTGACGCAAAGAAAGAAAGAAGAATGGGTATTATAGAGTGGAGGAAGTATCTAGATTCTATTTCTAGATAAAGAGTATCCATGTTGGACCTGCTCACTAGCTTCTTCTTCTACTAAGGCGATCGATCGATCGATCGAATTGATGTCAAGTTCCGACAGCAGCCCCCAAAAAATAAGCAAACCCCAAACAAAACAAAGAACATAAAAGAACCGAGACCGAAACAGAACAGAAATCTTGGTCAAGCAGTTCAAGCAGCCGATCGTGCCAACAGGTAGGCGGTTTTTTGCAAAAAAAAAAAAAAATAAACAAAAAAAAGTCAAGAGAACCCAACGCCTCTGGCAGAGAATCATTCATGAAAGCCCCCCAAAAAGAAATTATTTAATAAACAAACAAAAACAGAATTATAAAAAAAATTACGTTGTCGATCAAAAGAAAGAGGTAGAAAAATCCCAGACCCCAAAAAGGGGGCCCCACAGACAGAGACAGACCGAGAGAGAGAGAGAAAGAGAGAGCGAGAACCGAGCTATTTGTATTTGAACGTAAAGAGCTCTCACTTTCTTTTGAAACTTGTTATTCGATTTGCCTGCAAGTCGAGCCAGAGTTCATTCACATTTGGCCACGCCAGCCAAAGAGCGCGAGAAAGAGAAATGGGTGGGGGGGGGGGAGTTGGGAATCCGGGAGTCAAGAGAGTCAGCGAACTGGAGTGAAATGGGACAGCTGTTCCCGAAAGTTCCGCCGCAGCATTGAAATGAGTGCAAATTGGTCTCTCTCTCTCTTTCTCAAACTCCCCCTAAACAGTGCAATGAACTTTGCTTTCAACTCGAGATTTTTTGAAACTTTCGGTATGGTTTGGAGCTTGGAAAATTTTGCAAAAAAAAAGAATTTGTGCAAATTTTTTAATTGGCAAAGATTTCCTTGAACGCATTTCGACAGCTGCCGCACCCCCGCCCAATACTTCGTTCTCCTTGTGCCCCCCACATCCCCCTCTTTAAAAGCCAAGCCCACCTGGGGTTTCTGTGTCGTTGACCGACCGCCACAGCTCCAAGAACAACAACAACAACAAAATGCAAGCGAATTTGCATGCAAAATGCATTGAGAGCAGGCTCTCTTTCAGTTTGGCTCTCTTTTTGGGGCTCCACAACTTCGTCGTCGTGTTTCGGTTCGGTTCGTCTCGGTTCAGTTCGGGTCTCTGTCTCTGTCTCTCTCTCTGTTGGCTGTTGGCTGGCAGCTCCACATTCGAAGGTGGCTGACCGAAATGTGGGTCACGACAATGGCGGGTTCGTTGAACTGAACCGTCGCTGCCTGCCATTGCTGGCGCTGCTGTCTCTGCTTGCGTCTCTGTTGACGTCGTTTTGGGGCCTTTTCGGTTACGTAGCCCAATGGGCCAGAGTGAGACGGGGCTAGAGGTGCACTATTTGGCCCAAAAAATGGCAATGATATTATTTAATAAATTTATTAAATCATCTAGTTGGTAGTTGCTAGTGGTGGGGTTGGGTTGGGGGAGTTCATTGAACTATATTTGGCCAATAAAAATGTTAGCATTTCTTTAATTAGTTGGGGAATTGTCTTTGCAATTGGGGTCATATTTGTTGGGGAACAGCTGTTTACTAATTAACTATTGTAATTTGAAATTCAAAAATAGGATTTATGTCAGACATTCCACTTATCTTTCCCCCCCATCCCTGGATGACCCCAAAAAACGTAAAGTATTCGGGAACATTGTTCCAGATCTCAGATCCTCTTAGGCCTGTCATACGTGTCGTAATCTCCACCTCCTCCAGCCCCCACACCTCCACCATATCAATTAATCTTATTTGTCACTCATTTATTAAAACACGAAGAAACACAAAAGCCCAGAATCGAATCGAATAGCCCCCGCCCCCACCCCCTTCTCTGTTTTGTTATCAAACAAAGCTGATCAGTCAGGTGGCAGTGGTGGCAGCTACCTGAACTACCTGGGCATAGGACTGGGGCTGAGAAATCAGCGTGTCGCGTGGGTGTTCCAAGAATTGTTTACCAGGCGCCCCCACTGCAGCAGCAGCAGCAGAAACTAACAATAGATGTTGCTGCTGTCGTCGACGCTTTGGAGTGAATGTCCTCAGTTGGCACACAAAAAAAACAAAAAACACAAAAGAGAGAGAGAGAGCTCAAGAGAGAGATCCAAAAGCCGAATGCTCCAACACTTCGGGTCGCAAGTTCGCTGGCTGGCTGGCTGTCGGTGGGGCCTGGCCTGTATGTCGCTGGCGGACGCTGCTTTCATTCGCAAATTGCTCGTCGTTGGCAGCGGTAGTGCTGAGCAAGAAAAGCGCGCGAAAAGCCAATAGAAAGAGATAGTTCAATCACTAAAGAAAGAGCAAGAGATAGAGAGCCAACAGCAACAAATGTTTTAATAGAAAATTAATAAAATAAATATCAATTATTTTTCGTTGGTGCCAGTGCAGTGAGATGATCAAAGTGAAGTGTGAAATGTTCCTTATTAGAAAATCGTAGAGCAACCAACAATCGAGAGTTCAAGTGTCATTCTGAAGCCAAAAAAGCCAATTCTCTAATAATTCTAACAAAAATGGTTTGTGCAATGCAAGAGGTTGCTACCCAGCAGCAGCAGCAGCAGCAACAACATCATCATCAGCAGTCGGTGCAGCAGCAGCAGCAACATGCCACCACAATAGTGCTGCTGACGGGCAACGGTGGCGGTAATCTGCCGTTGCATATTGTAGGTGCCCCGCAGCAGCAGCCCCTGCAGCAGCAACAACAGCCCCTGCAGCAGGCCAAGAGCCAACAGCTGAAGCAGCAACACTCGGCGTTGGTCAAGTTGTTGGAATCGGCGCCAATCAACAAGCAGCAGCCCCAACAGCAGCAGCAGACCCCCAAGCAACAAATTGTTTACCTGCAACACCAACAGCAACGCAAAAGACTGAAAAACGAAGCAGCAATCGTACAACAGCAACAGCAAACACCTGCAACATTAGTAAAGACAACAACCACCAACAACAACAACACCCAGACAACAACAAATAGTATTAGTCAGCAGCAGCAGCAGATTGTGTTGCTGCTACAAAAGCAACAACATCAGCAACAGCAACATCAGCATGCCCCAGTAGCTGCCACACCAAAGCCACGTGCCGCCGATCTGAGCGCCAAAAATGACAGCGAATCGGGCATCGATGAGGACTGCCCCAATAGCGATGAAGACTGCAATCCGGGGGCAACATCGTTGGAGGAGAGCAGCAGCTACGAGCAGTATCAGTGCCCTTGGAAGAAGATACGATATGCGCGGGAGCTGAAGCAGCGGGAGCTGGAACAGCAACAGACAACCATCCCCAGCACGCAGCAGCAGCAGCAGGAACAACAATTGGAGGCAAAGCCAGCTGCAACACCCACCAGCAACATCAAGCAGCTGCACTGTGATAGTCCCTTCTCGGCGCAGACCCACAAGGAAATCGCCAATCTCCTGCGACAGCAATCCCAGCAGCAGTTGCAACATCAGCAGCAGCAACAACAACAACAGCAGCAGCAGCAGCAACAGCGTCGGGATAGCTCTGATAGCAACTGCTCCCTGATGAGCAACTCGAGCAACTCCAGTGCGGGCAACAGCAACTGCTGCACCTGCAACAGTAGTCTTGGTGATGACCAGCAGCTGGACGAGATGGAGGAGGCCCAGGACTCGGGCTGTGATGATGAGCTGTGCGAGCAGCACCACCAGCGATTGGATAGTTCCCAGTTGAACTACCTGTGCCAGAAGTTCGATGAGGATCTGGACACGGCGCTGAGCAACAACAACAACACAACGGGGAGGAGTACACCAGCAGTAGCCACAGAAGATGCTGATGTAGGTCTTGGGGGGCAGAACTTCTAGCTTTAAACCCTTATATTAACTAATTAGTTTATATTTTATTAGTTAGTCTATAAATAGTTACTAATATTTTTAATTTTTATCTATTTTTAGGGCTTCTTCCGTCGCTCCATCCAGCAAAAGATCCAGTACCGGCCGTGCACCAAAAATCAGCAGTGCAGCATTCTGCGCATCAACCGGAATCGGTGTCAGTATTGCCGCCTGAAAAAGTGCATCGCCGTGGGGATGAGTCGCGATGGTGAGTAGTACTATTATTACACCTGTCCATTTTCATAGAAATTATGCAAAAAATTATCTAAAAGAGAGAGAGAGGGATTAGATTAGCTGCAAGATTAGACAGAGATATCATTAGAGCAACATACGACTGCTACACGAAGCTTTTGGCTCTTCGGCTTCGGTTCGGAGTTCAATGACCAGCCATGAACGAAATTTGTATCAGTGTGTGGGTGTCTAGTATGCTTGTATTGCAACATTTAGCTTGGCGCGATTTCACGGCAAAGTAAAAGTTGTAGAGCACACACACACAAACGCACACATACTTACATACTCTTTAAACAAATTCCCCCAAAAACACCCGCATCATGATGATGAATTGAGAGCGCGGTGCGCCATTTCGAAATTGTGTTAAAAGTTGAATGAACGCACTTAACCCAAATCCATAATGGAGACACCAGAGCGAGGCCATCTCTTACGGCTGGGTCTCTTCTGTAAAAGAGAGAGCGCGCGAGGGAGAGCGAGAGATCTCTACGTTATGCTGACTGCATTTTGTTATTATTCAAGTTTTGTAATAATTTGTTTAAATTAGGCGCACAGCACAGCCCGGAAAATATTTACAGGAAATAGCCAGCGATTATGAAAGCAGCTCACACAAACACACACACACTATAACACACTCTTTCCAAACTCTCTTGGACTCTCTTTCTACGTTCATTGACTTCCCGCTTAGGCGGCCATGTTTGCTGTTTGCAGTGAAAAAGAAAACGAAAGTGGTTCATGCGTGTGTAAGAGAGAAGAGAGATGGTGGGGAGGGGAGAGCCTGCTTTGTAGGCAGCACGCAGACGCGGCCTTTTGTGTAATAGTATGGGTATTGGGGGGGAGCTCTTATGATGTTGTAATTGATGGATTAGTAATTAAAATAATACATAAAAAATTATAAAAAAAAAAATAATAAATAATTCCAATGTCATTTGTGATCTCTTCACTGTCTCTGTTTAAATCCCAACATTAATTAGTTGCTAACCCCGAGCAGAGCCAATAATTTTTTAGCAAATCCTTGAACTAGTTCTGTGCCAAGCTAGTGCCAAAAATAAGTCAAGTGAACCGAACAAAAATTCGACCGCCAACCAACAGTCGCAATGAAACAAAAAAAAGAAATAAAATAAACAGCAAATTTCGAATTGTTTATAATAAAAATGACCGTGTGCTATTTAAGTGACGTCGACTGCGCTGCCTCTGCTTATCTTTCAAGGAAAATTTAAATAAAACGCACACGCCAAAAAAATAAGGCAACCTTATACCGTTATAAAATAAAAAACAACTGACCTAGAAAAAAGCCAAAATATAATATTATTTATTTTTTCTTTTTTAAAAAAGAAACTACTTTCACTTTTTCATAAAAAAAAAATACAAAAATAATTGGCGAGCATTTCGAAACACTTTCTTTTTCGTTTCGTTTCGTTATTATATTTTTTTCGAGCTGCTTTCATAATTTCTTCGGGCCAGTGGCAGTAATAGGCGCCATTTTGTTGGTGTTTGGTGTTGTATTTGTGTGTGTTTTTCTTTTGGTATTGCAAAGACACGAAAATAACGCAAGAAATGAAAACGAAACCGAAATTTAGCTCACACTCACACACACACAGAGACAACCATCTGCCCACAGACATAAAAGCAAGCGCCCCCCCTTAAAAAAAACACACACAGCTCAGTTCATTGACCGCCGCTGACGTGCAGCGAAACTGGGTCACCAAAGGCAGCGCTGTTGGCAGCGCCGTCGACAGTGAAGGTGCTTTGCGTTAGTGTTAGTGAGTGGCTCTGGGCTCTCTGTTCATTTTGCATTTGATTTTTTTGGTGGGTTTTTTTTTACTTTTGGATTTATTAGATCGGTGGGGCTAGTAAAAAAAAATAAAAAAAAATACATATCTTTGCTTATTGTTTTGTATTTTTTTTTTAGCTGGCACACATGCTGGCTTTTAATTGAAATGAACTTAAATTAGCGCGAGGTTAGGTTTACAAATTGAAAGTAAATATGCAACACGAACGAGAATCAAGAATCGAGATAAAGCCTAGAGGAGCTCAAACTAGACTTAAGTTAATATTTTATAAAATCCACACCACACCTTCTTTACAAGGTCCAGCTTTTAATATTTTTCTTTAAAATTTAATATTAAGTATACGCACTGTTGTAGCTACCCAAATAAAAATAGTGCCTTGGCTTGTGTTCCAAAAAGCCCCATAAAATAATCAAACAATTGTCAATTATCAAAAGGCATTATATATAAATACATACATATGTATGTACAACTATGACATGATCTATGTTTTTGTTGTTGTCGCAATCATTATTATTTTGAGACACACAAACATGCATGTAGATTTCGCCTTGCCTCGTCGCCGCTGCTACTGCTGCCAGTGTTTTGAACTTTATTCAGGTCAATTACAAATACATTAAAATGCCACTGCTACACATGGCTGTTGCTGTTGACTAAAATACATATTGGAGGCTACAAGATGGATGGGGGGCCTCGCCTCGACTCGCCTCGACTAGGGTAGGGTACGGTAGAAGTTGCAACTTGCAACAGTTCAAGGAGGCCTCCTGAGTGGGCGGCTCTTCAAGTACACTAATAATCATGTTGTCTTTGGAGTGTGGGCTTTAATTCTTCAAAAGACTCTTTTTTGTGGCAATTTGTATGCCTAGTTTCTTATACAATTACTTACTTGCCCCATAAGTGAAATCATTTCACGCGTGTCAAAAAAAAGAGAGCAACGGCAGCTGTTGGTTGACAACTTTTGAGTTTTATTTTGTCATTTATTTTTTTTTGGTTACATAAAGTGGCGTTTTTCTGCCATGGCTGCCTTCACCTGCCTGGTTAACGGTGAAATTGCAAAGAAAAGAGCGCCAAAAGAAAAGAAAACAAAAAGAGTGGCAAGCGAACGTAACAAACTTGTTTTACACGCCACTACGCAAGTTGAACCTTCAAAAGGTTCATTTACCTCGCCAGCCGAGCCGAGCTGAAAACGAACCCGAACCAACCAGCCCGAAAGAAGTCGAACCCAGCCGAACCATCAGAGCCGATGCAACCGCTCTTCGGGCTTTTAAAGATGGCTGGCTATGGCTGGCTGGTATGGCTGGTATGGGGGGGGGGGTTTCTGTGAAAAATGTACTTTCGCTTTTTTCAATGCCTCGGCGCCAAAAAACTAGTTTCCAGCGCTCTCTCGGAGAGCATAGCGTAGCATAGCACAGCAGCAATCTCCAGAGCGTTTTGGGGCACAGTTAAACGACCGAGCCGTCGAGTTCAACGACTCTTGTAAAATTTCTCGAAGGTTTCGCATTGCAACATCGCAGTCGCAGTTGCAGTTGCAGTCGCAGTCGCAACTTGTTCGAAGCTGCATTTGCATTGCAGCTCTCTCTCTCTCTCGCTCTCTCACTCTCTCACTCACTCGTTCGTGTGCTGAATGCTGTTCATTGCACTCGGCCTCGTTTCGGCTCGCTCCTCGTTCGACTGCAATTTTTGCACGACGTCAGAGGCTGTTGGTATGATGGGAAGGGGAGGAGGGGAAGTGCCATGGGGGCCATGGGGGCTTGCAGTTTTGTCGCCGAGTGCAGCGACTTCTATTTGGGTCAGGCACGGTCATTCGCCTCAGTTGCAGCGCCGTTGGCAGCGACTACTGCTCTGCGACTGCGACTGGGGCAGCGGTTGCCTTGGCGCGCATTTATTTGAAAATGATTAGACACGAAATGGAATTATATTTGTTTTTTTTTTGCTTATGCCTTGGCTGATGCCGATCAGCTTGACCCAATTTCCCAATAAACAAGTTGGGGTATTTATTGGAATTTTCGGGATGGAGACCACAGAGAAGGTCAAGGGTGGTGGTGCAAGATTTTATCAATCATACGCCCTGTTGTACTACCTCAATATAGAGATAGTTCTTCAAGAATTACTGTAAATAAGAGTCTTTAGGTTTGTTTTTAAATAATTTTTAAATTTTAATATTAAGTATACGCACTGTTGCCCATAAACAAATATTGTAGGCCTCACTAAACTAACAAGAATAGTGCCTTATTTTTTAAAACAAATTACCCTCCCTGCGTTCACATTACGTATTCGCCCTGTTGCCCCCTCCCTTGAAAAATCAGAAACATGCTCATTTCACGGCTTTTGTTTGATTTTCGCCTTTTGTTTTCCACTTCATCGATGAGAAATGAAACGAGCACGACCTTTTCATGTAAAATTAATAATATGGCACAGGGTCTACTCTACCCTGAGCACCGATCCAAGCGATGTCATGTGTGTGCTATGTGCCTCGGTGCTATATGCGCATTGTCGACCTCCCCAACGTTTCATTCAAGTATTTTTCATGACCCACAAAAACCGAAACATATCGAAGGCTCCTCCGAAACCGAAAATAAAATTACAAAACCGGCAGTGGGGAGGGGGTTGGTGCTTTCTTTTGTTTTTGTTGAGAAATTTCGAGAAAAACTCCAAAAAACAAACTCGACATGTCTTTATTATTATGTTGTTATTATTATTATTTGGGGTCTCCCCCCTTTCTTTCAATACCATTTCCTTTGTGTGTGTGTGTGTGCCTCCCTTTGTTCCACTGTCTCTGTATCTTTCCACATATTTCGATCGCGTTGTAAACAACTTACGCAAGCAAAACCAAAAAACCAAAAAATAAAAAAAAACTGAAAACCAAAGCAACAGCAGTGTCGCTTATGTGACTTTACGTAAACCCGAGATCCCGAAGTGTTTTCTGAATCACCTTTATTCCAGCCCCAAAACCGAAAGTAGGCCCATCACTCTCTAACTCTCTCTACCTCTCTCTTTCTCTCTCTCTCTGTCGGGCAATGAACTCTGGGGATGTCTCATTGGATAAACAACAAGTTTATTATTTGAGCATTTCTTCGTAATTCAGGAAGTAGTCATCCAAAACAATAACAAGAAATCATAAACAATTCGAGTTTAGAAAGCAGCCACTCGATACAAGGTATCTGGTAGCTGGTACATCTGCCTTCCGAGTGAAAGTGAAACTTGTTAATTGGCTTTTAATTGCTGGCATTATTGTGACCGAGAGAGAGAGATGCTATTGAACTGGTTCCAGTCTTATATAAGCATTACAAATATTATAGACTTATAGACTACCTAGTTAGCTATCTACTACCTCAATGAGTAGTTATCACATCGCCATCGTTTTCAATTCGGGGCCACCTTCTTCGACCCAGTTTCAGTCCCCAATCTTCGGTGGCTCTTATGCAACTTTATAGGCCTACTGATTGGTCAACTTGGCCGAAGCTTGCATTTCCGAAATGTTTTCTACCCGAAAACAGTCAACAAACAACTTTCACTTTTACTTTCGTTGGACGGTCGGTCGGGGGAATGATTATTAAATTTTTTTTGTTTCGTTGCCCGCCTGTGTTGGCCTCATTCGGGCGGCTAAGTTCATTGACCATCGAGTGGTTGGCCCGATGACAAAGCCCGAGTTTCGACTTTGAATAAACACAACCACAATCTGGAACAGTCATGAGTGTCTGTGAGTTTGTATGATCGAGTGAGTCAGCTGGTGGCGGCGCATCAGAATCTGCATTTAATGGCCTCCCCTTCGTCACAGCTGCGAGGTTTTAACCCTCGACAGCCAGACGGGGCCAGAGGTGTCGTAAATTATCCACTCAAGCGTGAAATCATCAAGTATGATTTTTCACAAACTCATTACTGGCCTCCAGCCAGCTTCCCAGCCTCCAATGTAGATTATTTCACCTGCCAACGGGACGTATGAGCGATATTTAACTCATACATCACTCATACGCACTGTGAAAAATCCTACAAGTGCGGAAAAAGCTCTTTGAAAGCTTTCGCAACTTGAAACAACATACTCTTTCGTGGTGAAAAGCTTTGCCAAGCTTAAGAGTATTTTCTCACATATATTAAGAGAGAGCAAAGAGAGTCAATGTTGCGAGCAATGAACTTTTGTGGGTGGATGGTGAAAGAGAGAGATATAAGCGCCGATAAAGCGCCCTTAAAAACAGATCTGGGGGCAAGCTTATCAGCAAAAGCTTATCAGCGCTTGAACTTGCTTTGTTTGTGGGTGGATTGTGGGTGAATTGCAGAATATATATTTAACAAATTTTAAATATTTGCGAAAAGAACATAAATAAATATTAATTATTTAAATATTTAATTTTTGTAAATGTTTCTTTTTTCAAAAATAAAACGCCATAAACTAAGTATTTTAGGTATAATTTTAGTAAATATTTTGCACTTTGCTTATCAGTGACTCAGTTTGGGGCTCTCTTTAGCCATAACAAATATTACTCATACATCGGAGAGCCATGTTACTGGAGAGAGAGAGGGAGCAAGAGAGAGAGAGTGGTTAGCCGAAGCTCAGTCGCCATCGTGTTTTTGTACCTTTGGGTATATTCGTAAAGCGCTCTGGCTTTTACAGTTAGTCGCGTTCGAGACCTTGTCGAGTTTTGTCATGTTAGCCAGCGATCCGAGAGATCCGATTTCGACTTCGAGATTCGAAATAAGCCAAGAATAACGCACGCGAGTGTTGCCGTTGCCGCCAAAAGCCAAAAAAATAATAACATAACAAGATATAATCACAGTTACTAAGTTTAAAATCAACTACCAAGTTAATGTGAAGAAAAGTCGACCAAGTCTCCCTCCCAAGAAACACTCGTCTGTCTGGATTACGCGCTTAAATTAATTACTATTATTTATTTGCTAAAAAAATATTCCAAAAATTATAAGAAAAAAATTAAATCCAATGTGAAGAAAGCAAAGAAAGTTCCTCTCAAAACAAAACAGCAAATTAAATTAATTAAAAAATATTTAAGTGAAAAATATAAGATAACAAGTTATATATTCATGTACCTGAGTACCAACTTTTCAAAACCAAAGCCAATATAGCCAGTTATTGTGTGTGTCTGTGTGTGTGTGTGGTCGTAGTAAAAAATATTTAATGAGCCATCTGAGTGGTTAAAACCCCCAAAACCCCCAAAACCTGCAAACCAAAAACACACAAAAAACCACAAAAATGGGCGAAGAATTGCCGATATTAAAGGGTATACTCAAAGGCAACGTCAACTATCACAATGCTCGTAAGTCTCCCTCTGGTATTTTCTCCAAAAAAAAGTTAGAAAGTGAAAGAGTTAATCCAATTTCCCTACCAAACTCACTAACTGACACAGATCTGTAGCCTCGGCTTTCGGTTTCCAATCATCTCCCAGAGAAATGCAAAGAGTTCTGAGATACTTTTCACTCTAACTTTGATTCGCTTTTAGTTTTTTTGTTGTCTGTTTTTTTTTACCATCATTTTGTTTACCAAACAAACAACAATAACAACAACAACAACAAAAAGCGAGCGCCATTGAAGTGTTGACCTCGTTTATAAACATACAATAATTTTTTGTATTTTTTTTTTCTTTGCCGCGGAAGAGCTTTAAACTTGAAACGAAACTTTGGCGAAGGCAACGTTGCGTTGCTATTTTCTAAAAAAAAAAGAGCTATAATATCGCATGTTTGACCAACTTTTTGGTTTGGCTCTCAATGTTGGAAAGTTGAACGCCGCTCTAATTTCTACGCGCAGGCGCAGCAGTAGCAAGAGCTTGTAGCTGCTGCGCCGGCGTAGACATCATTTTCCATTTCGTTTGACCTGAATTTCGCTGCTCGTCAAGTGGGTCAAACTCTCTCGGCTGCCAACTGACGGCTGCCGGCTGCTGGAAAAATCAAGTAAAGCCGAGGCTGGCCTGGCCCGGCTATTTCACTTTTGTGGGCCAGAGTGAAAACCATGCGAGTAGAAATTTCTTTTTGACATTGAAAAGTTGGCCAAACATTTGTCAGATTTTGGATAGATTTCACCCAATGGGAGGTATAGATTTTCTTAAGATTGCAATTAGCACACCCACCTCCTCCTCCCTCTCCTTTAGGTTTTTGCACAAAAAAAAAACGTGACCACAAACGTGCCTTTTTTTTATCGCCTTGGTGAAATGTGAAAGTTCACCCACATACAAATTTTTTGGGCTTAAAAAAAAATCTAAAAAAAAGAGAAAGTGTAACAAGCAAAGAGACAGAAGACTGAAGACTAAAGACAGAAGACTTGTAGACTGGCAGCAGCTGAAGCTTCTGAGGCAATGACCCACTTCCAAGGACTGTAAAATAAGAGCACTACTTCCTGCGTGACAACAGCTGTCCTGTGCACCTGCCACTGTAATTGATGGGTCTCCCCCCTCCTCTCTTCTCTCTCTTTTAAGTTGAAACACCCTTTACAAGGCCATACTTAACACCCCTTTTATTTTTTTTCTACTTGCAGCTGTGCGTTTTGGACGCGTGCCGAAACGCGAAAAGGCGCGCATCCTGGCCGCCATGCAACAGAGTACACAGAATCGCGGCCAGCAGCGTGCCCTTGCCACCGAGCTGGACGATCAGCCACGCCTACTGGCCGCTGTGCTGCGCGCCCACCTCGAGACCTGCGAGTTCACCAAGGAGAAGGTCTCAGCGATGCGGCAGCGTGCCCGCGATTGTCCCTCCTACTCCATGCCCACTTTGCTGGTAAGTTTCTTAAGAAAAGGTCCATAAAATTATGAAAATATCACAATATGTGTCTCGCGAGTTACTCCCCAAAGGTTATGGCGTAGGCGAAGTCATATTTCCGGGCCGCCGACTTCTGTTGACATGCATAGATCTCTGCCTAGTACTGGTTACCTGCCTACCTACCTGGCTGGCTGGCTGGCGTTAGTCATGCGCCAAGGTGAACCTGTTTGCACGATTCTCAAACCAGGAAATCGCAGCCCGCACGTAGACGCGTCTACGGCCAGCTCTTTGGCGATTCTTCGGCTCTTTTTTTTTTTGAGCGATTCTTGGCGAATGGGGCCTTCAAATGCGTCAAGTTTGGGGTCAAGTTCTTGACGAAAACGCTTCTCAATGTCAAATTAATGACGTTTCTGATAAAAGCAATTTTTTGTAAAAATAATAGAATAATAGAAGGATAAATGAAGGAAGTCAGGCGGGACCTACTCCCAAAAATCGCAAACCAAACCCTTAAGAATATTTGAAATACCAAAGCTCAAAAAGCGATAAAGAAAAGTGCTGTATAGCTATGTATATATATATATATTATAGTACTTATATACAAAAAAACGTGTGCCGGCTCGGCAACAAAAATATATACAAATAAAGTTCTAAAGCTCAAGGTCAAGCGTAGCGTCATTATTAATGAAAGCACACACAGAGCTGGCTATCGAGGGGTTGAACAGAGACGGCTATAAGAAATAGGAAAGAGAGAGGAGAACCCAGACACATGCGTTGTCCATTTAAATAAATTATTATTTAAATTTTAAAATAAGACCACATGTGCCGACCACAATCCTGACAAAGTCAAGTCCAAGGCTAAAAAAATATTGGAATTTGATTTGAAGAGAAAGCCAATCATTATCAGCTACGATCGGTGGTTAAGAACTATATACGACCTTGAAGCTTGTTATTTTTTAACCTTGGGGGGCTATACTATTTCCTGGCACTCTTTTTTTTTTCTCCGTCGCACTCTATATATGAGTAAACAATAATAATAAGTAAGGTAGTAAAAAAATATGCATAAAATGCCATCAGTATGAGGAAGCAAATGCCAGACAAGCGGCGTCACAAATGCAATAGAAATTAGAAAGAGTAGGGGGGGTTGTCATTAGGAAGCAATTGAATTTATGACGGAAGATCACTGCCAGTGCAAGGTTAGGGACTAGAAACCCCCCAATCCCTAGAGATTATTTAATATCACTAGTGAAAGAATTCTGGGAATTATTTTTGGGAAAAAACAAGGTCAAGGGGAGGGACTATAAGGGGGTATAGTCATAAATAGCCAGCCCCCCCCCCCCCCACACACTCGCACACTCCTTAGTATTTTTCGCAAAAACTATTTCCGCTTTTGCGCAAATGAGAAAATATTTTCAAATGATAGCCAACCACGACGTCAACTAGAATCGGAGGCTATATAGTCTGAGAGGGGGGGTTGGGGGTGGTGTGTAGGTGGAAAATCTCTAGCCGGTTGCCGGTTTGGCTATTTTTCTCATTTTCTTGCTCATTCTGAAGACTTTCAAGGTTAATCAGAAGAGTGTCTAGTGGGGGGTGGATGGTTGGTGGGTGGTAGTGTCTTCCGCTGTGGCACGTTCACTGTCTGCGGCGGCACTTGGCGGCGCATGTTCATGTAACTCAAAACCCGGAAAGCCAAATGGCGAAATAACATGAACATTCGCATTGGCTCAGACATCCAACCCCCTTCAACCACCCCTCCTCTGAAAAAAAACACGCGCCATTGCGAAAACAAAAGCCCGGAACCTTGAACTCTAGTTCGTCGACCTTGGCTGGTAATGTCAGGCAGCAAAAAGCTCAACTGGGGTTGGGGGGTGCTACCTAGAAACTAGAAAACTAACAGAAAGTTGAGGAAGCTTTGGGGGAGAAAAGCTTCCAGTGGCGTTTAAGGAAATGCGACATTTGTTTGGGGTGGTTGGGAGGTTAGAAAGAGACAACACATAGCTGACAGCTTGTCACTGTGTGTGCGGAAGTACAAATAGTTATTATTATTGATTTAAATGAGTGAGCTAGTGAGCTTGTGAGCTTGGGGGGGCTGGTGGTGAGGTTCGCTGACCTTCGCGTGTAAAAAATGCCATGACGTGATAGTAGGGGGTGGGGTGGTGGCAACTATACCAAGCAACAGTTAACTATATTTTTCTAACCCCTATTCTCTCTCTCTCTTTCTGTTTGCAGGCCTGTCCACTGAATCCCGCCCCTGAACTGCAATCGGAGCAGGAATTCTCGCAGAGATTCGCACACGTTATCCGCGGTGTCATTGACTTTGCCGGCATGATACCCGGCTTCCAGCTGCTCACCCAGGACGATAAGTTCACGCTTCTGAAGGCTGGACTCTTTGATGCGCTCTTTGTGCGTCTGATCTGCATGTTTGACTCGTCGATCAACTCCATCATTTGCCTGAACGGCCAGGTGATGCGACGAGATGCCATCCAGAATGGAGCCAATGCCCGCTTCCTGGTGGATTCGACCTTTAACTTTGCGGAGCGCATGAACTCGATGAACCTGACGGATGCGGAGATTGGACTGTTCTGCGCCATCGTTCTGATCACACCGGACCGACCCGGTCTGCGCAACCTGGAGCTGATCGAGAAGATGTACTCGCGGCTCAAGGGCTGTCTGCAGTATATCGTGGCCCAGAATAGGCCCGATCAGCCCGAGTTCCTCGCCAAGCTGCTGGAAACGATGCCCGATCTGCGCACCCTGAGCACCCTGCACACCGAGAAGCTGGTCGTCTTTCGGACCGAGCACAAGGAACTCCTGCGCCAGCAGATGTGGTCCATGGAGGATGGCAACAACAGTGACGGCCAGCAGAACAGCAAGTCGCCCTCGGGCAGCTGGGCCGATGCCATGGACGTGGAGGCGGCCAAGAGCCCACTGGGCTCTGTCTCGAGCAGCGAGTCCGCTGACCTCGACTACGGCAGTCCGAGCAGTTCGCAGCCCCAGGGCGTCAGCCTACCCTCGCCGCCCCAGCAGCAGCCCTCGGCTCTGGCCAGCTCTGCTCCGCTCCTGGCAGCCACCCTCTCCGGTGGATGCCCCCTGCGGAATCGGGCCAACTCCGGCTCGAGCGGGGACTCCGGTGCCGCTGACATGGACATCGTCGGCTCGCATGCGCATCTCACCCAGAACGGGCTGACCATCACCCCGATTGTGCGCCACCACCAGCAGCAGCAGATCAGCCACTCCCAGCAGCAGCAACTCCACCCGCAGCAGCAGCAGCAACAACAGCAGCTGCACCACCAGCAGCACCCGCAGTTGCACCACCACTTGACAGCCGGAGCGGCCCGCTACCGCAAGCTGGACTCGCCCACAGATTCGGGCATCGAGTCGGGCAACGAGAAGAACGAGTGCAAGGCGGTGAGTTCCGGTGGCAGCTCCTCCTGCTCCAGTCCGCGCTCCAGTGTGGATGATGCCCTGGACTGCAGCGATGCCGCCGCCGCCCAGGTGGGCCAGGTAGTGCAGCATCCCCAGCTGAGTGTGGTGGCCGTTTCTCCGGTCCGTTCGCCCCAGCCCTCTAGCAGTGGCCATCTGAAGCGCCAGATAGTGGAGGACATGCCGGTGCTGAAGCGCGTCCTGCAGGCTCCGCCCCTCTACGACACCAACTCCCTCATGGACGAGGCCTACAAGCCGCACAAGAAATTCCGCGCCCTGAGGCATCGCGAGTTCGAGACCGCCGAGGCCGATGCCAGCAGCTCCACGTCCGGATCGAATAGCCTAAGTGCCGTGAGTCCGCGCCAGAGTCCCATCCCGAACAATGTGGCCACGCCCCCGCCCCCGGCAGCCATGTCAGTGGGCTCCAGTCCGGCGCCGATGGGAGCCAGCACCGCCCAGAGCCAGCTGCACATGCACCTGACCCGCGGCAGCCCCAAGGCCTCGATGGCCAGCTCGCACTCGGTCCTGGCCAAGTCCCTGATGGCCGAGCCCCGCATGACGCCCGAGCAGATGAAGCGCAGCGACATCATCCAGAACTACTTGAAGCGCGAGAACAGCACGGCGGCCAGCAGCACCACCAGCGGCAGCCTAATGGTGGTTGGCGGCAACCGCAGTCCCAGCAGCAGCAGCAGCTCCACCCCACCGCCCTCGGTGGGCCAGCAGCAGCACCAGGCCCAGAACCAGCCGCAGCGGTGGGGCAGCAGCTCGGTGATCACCACCACCTGCCAGCAGCGCCAGCAGTCGGTGTCGCCGCACAGCAACGGCTCCAGCTCGAGCTCCAGCTCCAGCTCTAGCTCCAGCTCGTCCTCCTCCTCCTCCTCATCCTCCAACTGCAGCTCCAGCTCGGCCGGCAGCTGTCAGTATTTCCAGTCGCCGCACTCCACCAGCAACGGCTCGAGTGCTCCGGCGAGTTCCAGCTCCGGATCGAACACCACACCGCTGTTGGAGCTCCAGGTGGACATTGCCGACTCGGCGCAGCCCCTGAATCTGTCCAAGAAATCACCCACGCCACCACCCAGCAAGCTGCACGCCCTGGTGGCAGCCGCCAATGCCGTTCAGCGGTATCCCACATTGTCCGCCGATGTCACCGTGACGGCATCGAACGGAGGACCACCGTCGGCGGCGGCCAGTCCCGCCCCCAGCAGTAGTCCCCCGGCGAGTGTGGGCTCCCCCAATCCGGGTCTGACCACCACCGTGCACAAGGTCATGCTGGAGGCGTAAGTGGGTTGGATGTATGGAAATGTGGGAGAGACAGAGACTGGGAGGTTGGGAGGCTGGAAAGGCAAGGATCAGCAGGATCTGAAGGATCGGCAGAAGTTGAATTAAATTATTTTACCTTTTAATTGAGACGTGTACAAAGTTTGAAAGCAAAACCAACATGCATGCAATTTAAAAACTAATATTTAAAGCAACAAACAAAACAACTACAAGTTATTAATTTAAAATTAATGAAAAAAGAAAACCCAAGCTTGAATGGTATTAAAAACAAAAAACAAAAACCAGAAAAAAACATAAATATATTTTAGCAGTTAAACTTTAAAGTAGCAAGCAACAAACAAACAAACAAAAAAACAAACTGTTTCAGGCAGCGCTTTCATTTTTGCAACAAAAAACATAAAACATAAAAAATAAAAATATTTCTGAAGCTGCTAACCCCCCTTAGCCCTCAATACTTCTCTCAAAACCCCGTCTATCAGCCCTTGATTGTTTTATAAGTTTTAAGATCTTGTTGTAAATATTAATTATGTTTAAAAGTAACTATGTTTAATGCTTTAGTTGTAGTCGGAGCAAAACTACTTTTGCTTTTTTTGGATGTCTTTTGAAAAAACTGCAAATTATTATTATTAAATTAAAAAAAAAAAGAAATGTGTGTGAAATTTTTTATTGTGCGATCTCCGAGCAGAATTGAAGTGCAGTTTGCAACAAATTTTAACTACAATTAAGTTGAGAACGATTCATTTTTTATGAATTAAACTAATTTTATGAATTTGTTATAGTTTTTTTTTCCACCATCCTCCCCACTTTCTATTATATAGTACTTCTATAACCGTATCCTTATTTTTCTCCTTTGGCACAAAGCTCTTTTTTCTGATGCTGAAGAATCAAGTGGAATGAATATTGTTTTCTAATTTTAAAAAAACCACAAAATATATGATTAAATAAAAATGAAAATCAAACAAAATGCTTCAAGTTTTTAGCAGTGCGAGCAGTGCGATTATGAGGAATCAGAGAAAACCCAACGTTAAATATATTTGTTGTGTAAATAGTTAAATGTTAAATTAAACACAAAACAAAAAAAACAAAAAGCATATTTAAAGTACATATAAATACACGTAATTATTAATGCTTAAAGATTCAATGTTCGATTGGCATCTTAGAAAACCAACAAAAAATACAAAAAAAAAAATTTAAAGAAAAAAAAACAGAAATTATGATATATTATTTAAAAAGTAAAGTATACATTTATATTAAAGTGAAGAAACAAAAAAACTTGCGGTAGCAAAAAAACTATTACATTAATTACATTTTAATTATGCTGTACTATTATGATTATTAATTATTATAATTAATTAATTACTATTTTTATGCTTAGACAAACCAACAACAACAAAAAACAAAGAAACAAACAAAAAAAACTCAACAAAAACAACAAAAAAAAATACACTGGCGCAGAAATTTGTATTGTCAAATCAATAAAAAATTTGTTTAAAAATTTTCAAAAAAATCTTCAGTTCTTTTTATTTATATTTTCATTTTCAGTTGCGAGTTTTTTTGCAATTTTCAGTTTTCTTCGGTTCGAAATGGTAAGAATTTATGGTTTATTTTAGTTATTTTCGCTTTTCAACTACCGAGCTGTAAAAAAATATCCAAAGTATTTCTATATCAGAATTAAATCAACAACAATTTTATGTGTATAAAAAAATATGTAAAAAAACGAATAATTCTCAGCATTGAAAGGGGAGAGCCAAAAGAAAATCCATAGAAAAAAAATTATATTCTTTTAAAATTTATGCAGCGTAGGCAAGGAAATTGGTTCCACCTGAAATTGCGAGAATTAACAAAGATATCACACTTCAATAATTGACTCTAATATATATATAAATATTAAAAAAAATATATATATACACGAGCATATGTACGTAGATGAAACGATTTTGGTGTCTGGATGTACATGTATGTAAGTGTATGTAACATTGTCCGTAACTTTTAGCCATAAAAAATCACAAAAACAGCAAAAACAAAGAACAAATATTGTAATTGTGTATCTAAAAGTGAATATTTTATGTAAAAACTATCCCAGCATATGGATCTACGTTGGAGATGGATATTTATGGTGGATATGGGTGAGGATATTCGACCGAACGACGGCAGCGACAACTGAAACAATGAAATTGCGACAATTAAGCGTAACGTAACGTAAAAGTAAATGTAAAACGTAATCGTAAACAGCCGTAAGAGTTTAACGTAACGTAATATAAACTAACAAAAAAAAAAACACATTGAAAGGATTAATTGAAGAGGCAACTCCAGCTGAGGCATATGAAATACAGTATAAATAATATCTATTAACATACAAGAATATATATATATATATACACATGAATATATTTTCAAGGACAGTCACAAATCAAATTGAGGCAAAAAAATAAAGAGTTTTTAAATGAAGAAAAGATTTGGCAAAAATTTCAAACTGGTGAGCAAGTAAGAGCGAAGAAAGCTACAAAAAAACAAAAAAATGTTTCTGACAATTGATAAAAATCTCCATTAAAAAAAAAGAATTAAAATTTAAAAAAAAAAAAGAAAATTTGTATTTGTGAAATAACATAATATTACAGTTTGTTTTAAATGGAAACACAATGAAAAATCCCCTCTCCCCCCAGAATGGAATATGTGAATAAAATATTACAAATAAGTATTTAAAATATATCAACAGAAATTATGAAAAGTAATTGAAAAGTGTTTTTATTTAATGGGAAGGTATTTCAGCTTATTTGGAATAATTATATTTCAAAACAAGTCATCTGTTAGAGGCAACGTGTCGTATACGCAATATTTTATACCTTGCCAAAATATTAAGTATACGCCACCGTTTACTGTTACCCGGATTCTTCTTCTTTTAGCTTCTACTCATTCTTTATTTATTATTATTATTATTTTTTTTTTTACGATTATTTTCAATGTCGCGCCTGTCTGTCGCAAGCGTGTATTAGTCTATATGGAATTTTTGCCGTGACCTTGAGGCGATAAGAGTCGCAAAATGAATTTGCCGAAATAATCAAATCATCGGTGTTGTTGTTGTCGCTGTATTAGTGTGTGATCGCAACGACCCGAAAGTGGCGACACAGGCACTAAGGGGGCGGGGCACTATGTGTAGCTGGTTAAGGCGTCTGGGCAGCGTGGGTACCGCGTGTAGATAACAATAGTCGATGCCAGCGATAGGGAGACACTCATCCCACCACCCAACCCCCTACCCCTTCCCGCAAAATACCGATAAGAGGCAGCCTAATACAAATGTGTGCAATCTAATTTTAAATGTGCGCCAGAAAGAGATACCCGAAGAGGGAGAGGTACATAGCTAGCGAGAGCCACTTGTACACATACTCACAATCACACTCTTTGTTATCTTCAAAGTCAATGTCAAAGCCAAGTGGGAAAAGGTGGGTGGTGAGAGAGGGGAGGCCATAACGAGACAGGAACAAAATTAGAATCAGAAACCGAGACAGTAAGCGAGGGGGACCGACATTGGCGCACAGATACAGTTACAGGCGCAACAAATTAACCGAGTATGTGGGTCCGGTGGCGTATGAGTAACGTGTGACAGGCGACAAGTGACAAGCAGGAAATGCAGCCCACCAATGCACTTTGAAACGGTGTTCAAGAGGGTGTTCAGAAGGATGTAGCTACTCTTCTTCTTAGGCTGCGGCTATAATCCGGCCGGCAAGTGGTTGTATTTTTTTTTTTGGGTATAAAGGGTATAGCCAACATTTGTAGGGTGTTTTAAAATCAAATATATTTTTAAAGGCTTAGGAAATTATCTTAAAAATAAATATGTATGTAAATTATTAATTTAAAGATAAATAATAACATAATACCTCAGTATTAATACCTTGAATAATACCTATCTGCTACCTATACCTTAAATATAATCTCTCATACATCTTATAATATTAAAGGGTATCACCACCTCTCAACTCTTTCACTGATATCAGTATTTTTTTTGCTCAGATATTTTTGGCAATTTCCTTTCGATATGTTTTTTTCGACATTTTTTATTTGCGCATATTTCACCTTGAAATAAAACAAGCCTCAAATAAATTAAAACACAAACAAAAACAACGCCAATAACAACTCGCGCGTAAAAGAATAAGAAGCAGCAGCACCAGCAGGGCAAATTCCAACAAAAACAACAACAACAATACACACAAGTATGCGAAAAAAATCTAAAAAAAAGAAGGAAACAAGAATAAATAGACCCGCGGGATAGCGGCTGGGAGGGGTTGGGAATAAAACAAATATTCAAGGTCAACTGATTAGATGAAATTAGCAAAGTTCTATCAGATGATTGGCGGCAGGAGAGGGGTCGAACCGGTAAAGGCTGCCGGGGGGGTTTGCTGGGGCTGGCCTGGCAAAAGGAGTGAGAGGGAGAGGTAGCGTCGATGAGAGCACGCGCTGAAATAAAAAACTCACGCAACGCGTTCTTTTTTTTGGCCCGCTTCCCCCACCCGCCATTCTACGCACCCCCTGCACGCGTGCGTACGCATGTGATTGTTAGCTAGCCGCCCACCCCCCTTCGAGCCCCATGCTTCCCCCCAGGGGTATATAACACTCTATATAGCCATTGTCGTCAGCATAGGCCTTTGGTTTTTCGGGCATTATTGCCGAGTGCTGATATTACTTATTATTTGGAATTAGGGGTATACTAGACCTAGAAGTTTAAGAAAATATTTTATTATAAAAATCAAAAGTTTCTTTATAAAGTATAGAATTTTATTTTATTTTTTTTTAGAATTATGTTATTACTATATACATAGGATGTTAACTTTTAGGTACACTTCAGTCCACTTGTCCTTAACTAATCTACACGCACTTTTTTATTTGCTTTCCGCCATTTTTATTCCACCTCCCCCCACTAAGCCCCTCCTGATATATTCCCCCTGGGGCCCGTGGTGGGGAAAATAGACAAAATAGCAAATAGCAACAATATCGAAAGGAAGGCACAACCCAAAATTCCCGCCAACGAAATTCTATGGCAAATGTATAGAAAATTTTGCGCAGCATATAATAAATTTCATTTATGTGCCGCGTGCTCAGCACCAACCCCTCCACTGCCTCCTATACCCCCACCTACGGTTCACGGATCGCCCCTAATGGTTATACATTTTATTTGGAATTATGCGCAAGTTGTCCTTGAGGGGCTAGGGGATTTTTTTTTACCCTCACTTGTGTGCTATATAGCTGGGGA